TGCTCCTGCTGTGAACTGTGGAAACCCACTATGCTATCTTGCAGGCCCAAGGTTTCCTTTTAAAACTCTACCATCACATTCTGTAATTCCTGTTCAGCAAACTGGCCCTCTGTACTGTTTTAATTATCTTTATCTTTTCTAATTAAAGGTAAGTGTTTTGGCCACTATGACCAAAACACTTACTGCATATATATCTGTTAACTGGCTAAATGGAGATTTAAACAAGTTAAAAAATAACTTTTAGACTACCACTGCCTTTATAATTTTTTTTAAAATGTATTTAGTACAGAGTCTATAGGGTCTCACTACACAGATCCGGACTTGTAGTGCTCCTCTTGTTTTCAGCCTCCCAAGTGCTGGGATACAGGCATGTGCGGCACCACACTCAGTCTCAGTCATTGTTTCACATGTCCTGAGGGCAGGGCCAGCATAACCTCCACCCTTGTGCCTGCCTAAGCAGGCACTTCAATCCACTGAGCTATCTGGCCGACCCCACAAAATGTTATATAAAATGTACTAAAATGAGTGGTGGTGACAAGCCTGTAACTTCAATATTCTAGGAGGCTGAGGCAGAAGACTGTAAGTTGAGAAGCTCACCTAATTACAATTTTTTTTTTTTATTAATTTCTTGGTGCTACCAGGGAATCAAACTTAGGACCTTGTACTTGCCAGGCAAACACTTATTCCACTGAGCTATCTCCCTGGCCCCTACAAAATTTTTTTAAAGGCTGGGAATGTAATTCAACGAGAAGCGCTGGATTCAGTCTTCAGTACTGCTTCCCACCAAGTTCTATTTTTGTAGAACTAATTTTTATTTTCTATTTTTATATCACTAATTTCACTCTCTAGTGATAAATAAAATCTTGAGCACATTCCACCTGTTCTTTGGGGCACCTTTCTCTTTCACTCAGTCATTCCTCTTCATCCACGTCATACTAAGATTAATCAAGGCCTCTGTCTGTCTTTTTCTTTTTGTCTTTTTGGGACAGAGTCTCACTATGCAGTTCAGGTGGCCTTGAGCTCACTTTGTAGCCCAGACTAGTCATGAACAACAATCCTCCTGCCTCAGCCTCCTAAATGCTGAGAGGGCCTCCTGCATGTTGTATTTTGTGATAAATTTCCAACCGCTCAGACTCCCTCCCTCATTATCCCAGAGAGATAATGAAAGAGAGAGAGAGATGAAAGAGACAGACTGGGGATCGGAAAGTACTGGAGAGAAAGCACATAGCTGGAGACTTGGACATACTCCAAAGGCCTCTATCACCTTTAGTGGCCAGAAAGCACATTCAGACAGTACAGGGACTGTACATCACAAAGAACATTAGGTTCACTACTGCCACACCCCGTCAACAGCTGAAGAATTAATTTGGTTTCTTGCCCTTTGATGCTGTCTGCCTCTCTAGCAAAACTTTTCTGTAAACCATTTCCAAATCGCTGGGTAATCCAGTCAAGGTCACTTTTCTTTACATTTTCTCACATATGTTCCCAGACTAGAATTTTATGGCTGTACTATGATGACTGATTCACTGAAAGGCAGAGATAGATGAGATGGTGAGCTTGAAGGGTACATATTACTCAGAGGTGTAGAGGAAATACAGTACTGTATAATGTGGTATTGTGAAGATGCTGGATGCAGACTCTTATGTAGCCTAGAGTAAGTGCCTTAACCCTCTAACCCTATCTCCTTATCTATACCAGGACTGCAATGCCTGCACATCTTTCAAGAGCTGCTGATGACCTCCTGGTCTGTTCACAGACCAAGCTTAGCCCAGCACAGTTAGAGTTGAGGATGTGGCTCACTTGCGTAGCACATGCCCTGCATGCTCAGGGCCCATGGTTCGTCTCAACTCCAAAAAAAGGAAAATACTCTACAATGGTTTGTTGTCATTTGTTATTAAACCAATCTTAGGGGTGAAGTATTGCCAGACTCATTTTGCAGATGAGGGAACTGTGGCACAGGTGGCAGCAGGACCTGAATTCAGCACTACTCAAAGCTCTTTCTGCTATTTACCAGCAGACAAGAGGGCTAGAGATATAGCTCAGCAACACAAGCACCTGCCTGGCAAGCACAAGGTCCTGAGTTCAATTCCTACTACCAAAAGAGAAAAAAAAAATCTTCCATGTTGTGTGACTGCAAATTTTAGGCCAGACCATTGCAGGAAACTGAAAGTCTAGGTCTTTGAAAACAACTATCAGATGAAGGAATCTACAATAAGGAAAAGGCAAGTACTTGATAAGCTGTAGTAAGAGCCTGCACTAGGTCTTTGAAACAGTGTAGAAAACCCAAGAGATGCTCAGGAGGGAAAAATCAGCAAAGAAATCTCCCACCTGAAGGTTCTTGATAAGAGTGGGATGTCCAGGAATTGCAGAATTGATTGAGAGAATGGCCACATAACAAGCCAGCCTCGAAAACATACTATTGGAGTACCTCTGTCTTTATCAAGTCTCAGCATGCTGGCATTTAACAGGCATCTCTTAGAAGAAGGTAATGCATATCAGGATGAAAAACTGTTCTACTGCCACTCAGCTTAAAAAAGTAATCACATCCCAGAGTTAAGGAAACAAAACACTTCACAACCTGAAATAAACCAAGAAAATAGCTAAGCATGCTTGTATACCTAGAACCACAAATAAATCAGACCTTGAACGTTTTCTGTAAGTTATCAATGGCTGATTAAGACTTACATGAATAAGATAATGAAATGAGAAAAGTTTTTCTACCACAAATTCATTATGTAAACTTGGTACTCTTACAATCGTTTCCACTCAAACACCTTTTCTGTTTTTTATTTGGCAAGGCCTGATCCTTCATGTCCTTTTATATTTCTTTTCCTTTTTGTATGTTTTTGTGTTGCCGTTGCAGTCCTGCAGTAAACAACTTACTAATATTCCCAAACATATGGAGGCTGTAAGTCTATGAAAGCACAAACCCTGTCATACTTCTGCCACTTGGGAGATGTAAAACCTTGGTAAGACCTTCAATGCTGAGGCTCAGTGTCATGATCTGCAGGACATGCCTAACTGATTGAAGGGCTATGCACAGTATATCTAACAAGGCACTTCAAAGAAGCCCCAGGACACTATAAGCCCCCCAACAAAAAAGTGCTTGAATAGAAGCCATCCATTCCTAACATTCCAACTCACTCTTAGTTTATATGTAGTAACACCTTACAGCAGTGGTGGCCAATCTTTGACATGTGTGTTACTGTTTTTCTTTGAAGACAAAGAGATATTAATGTAGTTATTTCTATCTAAACTAAAACCTCAGTGTTCAGATTTAATTCAGTGTTGACATTTGCAATGAATAAGCGGATTTTCAGTTGTAGTTTGGCATTCAGTCTCTAAAAGGTTTGCTATCACTGTCCTACAGGACCCTCTTGTTTGAGAAGGAAAATTAAAGCTCTTAAGTCATTATCTCCAGGTGGGAAAGGGGGGGAAAAATCAAGATGATACTGATTTAAGTTCTTGTTACTGTACCAAGATGTAAAATTTTAAGCAAGCTTTGTGTCTTTCTCAGTAGTCTCCTTACCTGTAAATGAGGTAGGATATTGTACTGAGATTCAATTACAAAGCAGTACATAAATGTACACCATTTTGTGGAAACATCTTATAAGCAGGCATGGGAATGGTAGAATTAAACCACAAAGTAGTACACAGATTAGATAGAATCTGCCTTACAATGTACAATGACAGGAACACTTGCCCCAAGACAGATATATAAGTAAAAGTTAAAATAAACTCACATACATACAGAAGGATTACAAACAACCTTATATAATTATTTTTACAAATATAAACCAGTTTTTTAAAAAAAGTTTTTCAGTAATGGGGACTGAACCCAGGGCCTGTGCACTGAGCCGCCCCACTTTTTACTTAATTTTGAGATTTTATTTAATTTTGATTTTTTTTTTTAAACAGGGTCTCAATACGTGGTCCAGGCTGACCTATAACTCACTATGTAGCCCACAATGGCCTGGAATCACTGCAATGCTCCGAGAGCTACAGCCTTCTAAGTGCTGGGATTACAGGCATGTTCTGCCATTCCTGGCTTAATTTTGAGATAGAACCACCCTAACTCCTTAAATTGCCCAGGCTGAGCTTAAATTTGTGATCCTCCTGCCTCAGCCTCAAAGACTGCTGGTATTACTGGCATATACAACCACACCCGGCTCTAATGGCAAATTGCTGACAGTTGCTTAACATGAGCCTGTGTCTTTCGTTAAAACTGGCTGAACCGTTAATATCTAATGCTAACAAAACACCACTTCTCAGTAATTTACACCAACGAAGGGCGGTAACAAAGATATTTAAAAATATTACCCAAGCACGTTTTACTGAAACTAATTAAATAAAACTTGGAGGTTTAGTATGCCTTGTCCAAGAGACTTGAGCCATTAAGTCTTTTGACTTTTGGATTTTTCAGATTTTGGAATATTCGCACAAACTTCATCTAGAGAACGGGACTCAACTCTACGACAAAGTTCATTACATCACCTTACACACATAGCCTGAAGGTAATCTTCCACCACATTTTTAATAGCTTTGCCCATGAAACAAAGTTTTGGGATGTGGAATTTTCCACTTGTGGCGTCCTGTCTGCGTTCAGGGCTTTGTTAAAAGGGTTTTGAAGCACGTCGAGATTCGGCTTTCCAGACAGTGGACGCCCACCCTGTACTGCCCGTGTACGGTCCACGGGCCCGGATCCTGGGCGAGCGACCATGGCCTCCGGGAACAAAACCACCCTCAGAGCTCCCAAGGAGACCCAGCAAGATTCAGGGCGTCATGGGAGATCCGTCAGACTCGATTCCCTGCCGTGGTAAAGGGAGCGCGGCCCGGTAGTCACCGTGAGGACAGCGTAGGCGCTGCCGCCCGACTCCAGACTACGCCCGCGACCTCGCCCCCTCCGCCCCAAATCCCGCGGCCCACCCCGAGCAACTTCTCGCGAGTCCCGCCCCGCCTCAGTGTCCCCAGCGGCAGAACTCAGAGCGCCGCGCGCTGACCTGCAAGTGACCTGCTTGGTGCTCATGGTGGCCGGAGTGTGAACGCCACTCACTGTTCGCTGCTCGCTTCCTCGGCGGCCGCCTCAGCCACCGCCGCGCCCTCCCACACGCAGCCGCGTCAGCCCCGTGGATGCATCATTTGGGTTGCTCCGGCCGGAAACCCGGCGCAGTCACAATCGGTTCCGCATAGGGTGGTGCCAGCGTCTGGCGTTGCCAAGGTTCCCGTCTAGGTTGCCGAGAGTCAACGACGAGTTCCTGTTGTTACACAGGAATACGCCCCTTCTCCAAGTTTTTACTTACAAATTCATGTTTGCAGTACATAATGATTACGTTCGTTGTGAGGAGTTGCTGTATCCACGTAACAGATCTCAGTGGTTTTTTTTTTTTTTTTCCCCTCAACGCCCCTCCATTCCTCTATCTCAGGATCCCCTTCCTCTTGAGGAAGATCAGGCTCCCTGTAGCTGTGCAGGTAATCATTATGCATTACGTGCTGACATTCACTGAGGGGAGTTGGTATACGTACATGACGTTTCTTAACCAAGACATGTTACCACATGGATGAGCTTTGAAAATGTGCTGAGAGAAGCCAAGCAAGAGACCAGCTATTGTATGCTTCCCTCCCTCTGAAATCCAGAGAAAGACTCACACTTACCCGGAGCTAAGGCAAGTGCAGAATGGGATGAACCTGAAAGAATGAAGTGTCTTTTAGGGGTTTTTGGGCCACTGAAAAGGCAGAGAAACGACAAAAACCCAGTAGTAAAGGGCATCCCCAACAGACTGACTGCAGCCTGGAAATTCCATTTTCCACTTGAATTAGGAGTTCTTGGAGAAATGTCTGATTCAGGTCTAGGGCAGACATGGTCTGAGGAAAACCTGGGACTTTCTGACATTAGTTAGCAAGGAAATCACAAGAAAAGGACAATTTGAGCTTCAGTAAGAATGAAAGTTCATGTAATCCTAGCACCCTGGAAAGCTGAGACAGAAGGATTTGAAGTTCAAGCCCAGCCCAGGCAATTTAGTGACTTAGTTAGGTTCTATCTTAAAAAGAAAAATAAAATTTAAAAAATGGCATGGAATGTATCTCAATGAAAACACCTTGTGTTCAATGCCTAGTAACACAATAAACAAACAAATAAATGAAACTGAGATTGGGCTGAATAATGTCATGTTTACATCTATGAATTCCTAATGATATTTAAGGAAACAGATATGAAACCACCTGGACACCTCCTGCGTATGACAAAGATGCCCTCCTTACCTGGAAAAGTCCTCGAGGGCAGAACTCAGGGATCGCAGAGCAGGAGTTGGTGGTATCTTCTTACAGGATTATTCTAGGTCATATATGAAAGCCTAATGACAGATGTTGGACACTCCCACAGGAAGGGGTCTCTGCTGCTCCTGCTAACACCACCACAAGCTGTGCTTCAATAGGGAAGGTGGCTCTGCCACTCTGTCTGACACTATGCTAGGGGCTGATCTGCTCACTGAGGCTCTGAGGGATTCTGAATTGGCTGGAGAAGTTCAAGATTTTGGCTTGTGTGGTAGTTACTAGGGTTCACATGAAAATAACTCTTTAAACTACAAAGTTGCTTTGTGGAGTCTTCTGTATTCTATGTTTGTCTGTGTATTTATATAGGTGTTTTGAGCCAGGTCCTTGCTGGTAGCTTAGGTGAGTCTTGAATTTACAATCCTTCTGCCCAAGTCTCCTAAATTTGGGATCTCAAACTGAGTCACATGTCCTGCTCATGCTTGTTTTACAGTAGTAAGATTGAAAAAAATAGACATGGCAAGAAAGATTGAAGAGCCATGTTAAAAGTTCTGATATAAACTGGCTGTAGTGGTGTACACCCATAATCCCAGCAGTTGAGGGGCTGACGTAGGAGGATTGCTCTAAATTTGAGGCCAATCTGGGTGACATAGTGAATCCAAGGCCAGTCTGAACTACACAATGAGCCTTTGTTTAAAAAAAAACGAAAACAAAACAGAGCCAGCCAGATAGCTCAGTGGACTAAAGCACCTGCTTAGGCAGATGCAGGGACCAGGATTTGATCCCCAGCATACCATACTGCCCTTCACCCTCCCGGGTGCACTGAGACAACAATTGAGATAGGATGAGGTGGTGTGCGCCTGTAATTCCAGTGCTTGGGAGGCTGAAAACAGGAGTATCACTATGAGTCCAGTCTGTGTAGTAAGACCCTGTACTAAATACATTTTTTAAAAGAGTGAGGAAAAATCCTAGTATATTGACAATGTTTATGAAGACATGGCACCTCTATCCGTTTTCATGAGATTAACAGTATTTTTTTTCTATGTTTTGCAGGGTGGAGGGTGGAATCTTGTCCACAGCAGTGCCTGCTCTCCCACCAAACTGCACCCCACCCCAAGAGGAAGTCTCCTAGAACAGGTAGTGGTAGCCTGCATATGAGGCTCTGCTCCTCAGGAGGTGAAAGTGAGACAATCAAGTTTAAGGCCAACCTGAGTTATATGAGGAGACATTGTCTCAAGAAAAAAAAAAAAAAGACAACAAAGCTGAAAGCAATTTTTCTTGGTGTGGATGTAGTGAGGATGAAAGTAGGTGCACCTCAATGGTGAGTGCTTGCCTAGCACACACAAAGCCTTGGGCTCCAGGCCAATCCTGGACATAAAGCTTGGGTCACTTTAACAACCCATGAGTAATAGTTGTGTGGCCCACATGAATAATGAGTGACCTGGGTCTCTGTCACTGGAGATGGGTGTCTCACAACAGCCATCTGCCCTTACTGTAAAAGGATATGACTGCCTGAGCATTTCTGAACTCTTCCCAGTTCTGTGAACCTGATAGTAGCTCTTGTGTGATGTGGCTGGCAATGTTTTACCATCCTGAAACTTATTTAAATGCAGGTGTAGTGCTTACCCATTTTGGCTGCTCTGCCAGCCACAGTCCTGGCCCCTTAGGTTTCTCATCTGTGAAATTGACAGGGCTGAGGGTATAGTGCAGGCCTCTCTGGGAGTCCTGTGTGCTCCTCTGGAAGTGGGCACTGGGCTATGCTATTGGCACTGGGGAAAAGCACCCCCGATGAGAGAAAATCCTGAGTCTAAAGATTCTAGAATAGTAGCACACATATGGAAATAGCCTCAAACTTAACCTGGCTTTGCCCTGGGAGTAGAATGTAGCAGGTGGGAAAAGATATTGGGGAAAGGAGGGGTGCTGTTTTTTTGCTTGTAGATTTTGTGCAGTTGCTTTAAGGTATTTTAAAAGCTGAAAACAACATGGAGCACAATGAATTCTCACAAACTGAATTTTTTTAACAGAATAGAAACTGAATTAAAGAATCTCAGGAGAGCTCCAGGCCCAGAAAATATCTCTGTAAAATAACTCCAGAGTAGGATCCCTTCCCTGGATAGCCATGACCTGGGTCTCTGTCTGCACAACTCAGTCTCTGTGAGTAGGTTGTCTGCTACAGTAAGAAAAAGTCTTAACACAGTATCCTAGAAGGAAGGACTTTACTCATGCATGCAACAACAGAACAAAACAATATGCTCTAGGAACAAAGTAATAAAGATCGGGGGAATGTCACACTCGAATACGATAGACATGTAATGCGCCTCAGGTGGCAGAGCTCAGCCTCACACATGCTAGGTGAATGCTTACCAACATCCTGAAAAATACATACACACATACATACTTGTCGGTTCCCAAACCCAAGGACTTCTCAGACTAATGAAAAAGATAAGACTAAAAGACTCATTGAATAATAAGGTTCTAGTCAAAATAAAAATTCAGAGGACAGTGCAAGAAAAGGTTGGAAGAAGCTGAGAAAGTCTGCACAGGAAAACAGGGTTTTGATAGATGAATATGAGCTGCCTGACACTAGATACAAAATGTACAGGGCCTAGGAAGAAGCAACTAATTAGAACTAGCTCTTTAAGAACTTGGTCGTGGGTGGCCTGGTTACTGATTAACCCTACTTCCCAGTAGGCTTGATGACGCTGCCCTCATCAGGTTACTTGACTGTACGGGGCAGCTGGCACAGGGCAGCTGTGTAAGGGGGAAAAGGAAGTCTCCACAACCCTTTCCTGGTGGACTGGGGACAAACGCTATGCAAGGCACTGAGCCTTTGATTAAATTCAACCACTGTAAGAGATCCATCTACAGCTTCAGAGTGCCGAGGTGCTGCCCCCTCTGCCAGGAGGCCCTGGGCTCAGTGGAGGTGGCTGACGCCCCAGTCAGCATCCCCAGCCCCTTCAGCAACGGGCACCAGGAGAAGTGCTCTTTCCTCTTCAGGCCGACCCAGGGTACATTTCTCAGGTACTGCATATTCTGAGTGTCATGTTGAATGGTGCAAACTGGGCTTGTGTCACAGCCACCCTTCCTTTTCCTAGTGTGCAGCAAACAGCATGGAGATTGGGGGCTTCTTTCAGGGCATTGGCTTTAGATCCTGATGTTATGTAGGCTGATTTGTGGAAATGATTGTGTGAGGCTGGGACAGCACATAGGTGAGTGTTGGCCTTGCAGGTTGAGGCCTAGTCTCCCACCCCAGCAGTACAGTATAGTCTCTCTCTCCTCTCTCTGTCTGTCTCTGTCTCTCTCTCTCTGTCTCCTCTCTCTCTGTCTCTCTGTCTCTGTCTCTGTCTCTGTCTCTCTCTCTCTCTCT